CTCTCTCTCTCTCTCTCTCTCTCTCTCTCTCTCTCTCTCTCTCTCTCTCTCTCTCGATGCGGGCAGTCTGTCGCCGCGCATCCCAAAGACCTCACAGAGTCGTCACCCCGCTTAGCCTGAGCGTGCAAGCCAGCCCACGTGCCACAGTCCCTCGCGGCCACGCGTCAACCCCTCGCACTCAGCACCAGCTCATCAGATCGCCCAACTCTCTACTCACCGTCTTTCTGCACGTTAGCCGATCCTTCTCGACCACGCTAACTCCCAAGTAGATTAGAGAGAAAATTAATCGCGCTTGCAGAATTTATAGCTTGCTAATCAGCGCGCAATATTCGGGATTGCCAGGGGAACAGGAAAGACGAGAGAAAGGAAGTGCCTACAAGTGCATGACTGGGCCGCGGCGTGGGGGACGTAGCCTCACTCCAAGCTTCGATCCAACCATGCAACGGTCCGACCAATGAGATAGGAGGTAGAGTGCACATGCAATGACGCGGGAAGGGAATTTCAAGAACGGGGAAGATTACAGTTACACCTGCGTAGCAGGGAAAGAACAAGAAGAGATTACAGTTGAGATTAGAATTTCGGCGCGGCGGGAACAGAGCGCAGGTCCCCGTGCAGCAAAGTGCGCGCGCGGGCAGGAGGTGATGTGCAGTTACGGGCAAAAATTCCAGCGCACTCAATTTCCTAATCTATTTAAAGTCCTGATTAAAAAAAAAGAAAATTTCGAGAGCTCGCATGGGCTCGTTCTAAATTCAAAAATTCTGAAGAAATTACCCCCGCAATTATCGCGCAAAAACGACGGACGCCTTATTTGAAAATAAAAGAGAAAAAAAAAAGGAAAAGAAAAGAGAAAAAGGCCATAGCGGAAGTTGTTCCCCCTCCGCGCTCGCTAAGGCGCGGGCCTACCGTCCCAAAGTCCATAACCGCCACTCGAAGGACCAAGGAGAAAACTTCGAAAAATCAAGGAGGGACCGCCATGCAATTTATCCCCGATCCCTCTGTGTACCCCCAATCCCAGTTGCGCAGAAGATGGCGCCTTAAAAAGTGTAGTTCGTCACATATGTGACTCCCAGGGGGTTCCATCCTGTGCAAGCTCCCGCTTGCACCCACATTTCCCCCAAACTCGAAGAAGAAAGAAGAAGGAAGGGAGAAAGAATTACAATCCCACCAATATTACACGTGTCGTTACCGTAGGATAAGAGTGTGGACGTCATCCTTTCGACACGTCATTCGAGCCGCCCTCGTTTCACGGGTGGGGGAGACGGAAGATGGCGGGGATAAGCGGGGGAGGATCATTTGGGAGAGGCGGTAAGAAATTCGTCATCCCCATCACCATTTTAGGGAGCTCCTGGTACCTGATGATGCGATGGATGCGGGGGAAGCGATTTCCGCCTTCAGGGAGGGAAGCAAGATAGTCAGGATAGAGGGTTGAGAAGGTGTGAAACAACGCCGCACGGAACTGCTCATGATCTGCACACACGGGGATAGTTCCCGTGATGATGCAGTAGACTTCAATGACGTCCTGGTCTCGCCACGCGGCTCTGAACAGAAGGACGTGGAGATAGAAGGAAGAAGAGACACATTGGGTGGCGGCGTGTGGATATACATCGGCGATGAGCCGGGTGGAGTAGAATTGGTAGAAGGTCGAAGAAGGAAAAGGATTGGAGGGGAAAAAGCGCGGAGTATCGATCTGTCGGAAGGTGATGTAGCCAAGGGGACGGCGAGATAGGGAACGGGGATGTAGCTCGATGTCCCGCATTGCCACGAGCTCGAACAGAGGGACGGGGGGAAGGGGAGGGGGAGCGGGATCGCCTGCGCGTCGCCGTGCCAGAAGTCTTTGCATGAGGGTGCTAATCTTCCTTGGCTGACGGCTCGGGATCTTTAGTCGGGTAGTCCGAAACAGGCAGATCGACTCCCACTGACAGCTCCAATGGCCGCTTTCCTTCCGCGATGGCCGCCCTGCGCCGCTCTGCGTCCGAAACAGGCAGATCGACTCCCACTGACAACTGTCGAGATATGAGCAGTCCCCGACGTCGAGAGTCGACGGTAAGCTGAGGCTTCGGCCAGCACGTGTGACCTACTGTTGGGGATCGCAAATCGAAATTTTGCCGCCGCGTAGTAGAGTCCCGCCGTACTGAAGAACTGAGTGAAGCGGAGAGCGTGCGGGCTGATGCGCGGATGATACACCTGCCGAATTGATGAGATATGCCCACTTGGCGCCAACATGCGTTCACTGAGTACCTGCTCCGCGGAGAAACTCATGGCGAAGAGGAGGGAGAAGATGAGCGAGTAGAGGAAAGAGAATGAGGCTCGTCACTGTTCCACTCAGACTCCGAAATCGACCTTGTTGGAGAAGGAGGGGAAGAAGTCGAGAGATGGCGGAGGTAGGACACGTGGCGGACAATAGGCCTAGCCAACCGGCTGTCTGACACCTCAGGAGCAAGCCGCATCGTGTTCACGCCGTTAGGACCAAGCTCGATCACTCTGAAGCATTTGTAGAATCGTGGCGCTAGCTTACCTTGGCGAGCACATTTCCTCACGTGCATGAAGTCCCCCAATTTATACTGGGGCCGAGGGCCTGCATTCCCATTTCGGGCCTCATAACTCCGGACCTGGCGTCCATGGGCCAATTCAGTCATACGCTGTCTTTTTCGGGCCAATCTCGGAAGGGCCCGTTCCATAAGGTCCAAATGGCGCTTGGCCTTGTCCTTGGCCGTCGCCCGGGTGGGGCGTTTGTCCAGCGCCGTTTCGTCATTTAAGTTCAGTATCGAGACACAAGATAGGATGTTGGTACGTAGCTGGAAAGGTGAAAGTCCAGTAGATTCATTTGGGGTCCCTCTTAGCTGCAATATTCCGTCGGAGTGCCGTTTTAATTACCCGGTTGGCATTTTCCACGAGGCCGTCGATTGAGACATATGGAGAGCCGTATTATGAATAGACACCCCATGTACGACCAAGTTCCTCATGACTTCCCCCCTGAATTCAGCTCCATTGTCGGTAAGGATTTCCTCGGTGTCATGATGCATCCCGAGGAAACGGTTGACATACCACGCTATTTCCGCCGTTTGTCGTGTCCGACAGGGGTAGGCCTCAATCCACTTTGAGAAGTGGTCGACAACCACCAAGAGAATTGAATATTCACAACTATTCGGCCCAGGGGGGACGATAATATCCGTCGTGTCCATGCTAACCCTCTGAAATGGCCGTTGGACTATGGTGGGCACTATCGACCTAGGTGGCTGAATCGGCGCTTTGTCGGCCGCACAGACGGGACAATTTTTAACAATATATTTAACGTCGTCCCTAATGTTGAAACAATACCATTTATTCTTATCATGGCCGACTCGGTGATCCTGACCGCGAAATGGGCTGCTGTCTCTTCGTGGGCTGCTTTAACCCAGTCATACCTCATAAACGGGTGCGGAACTACCATCCATATTCCGCCCCCGTGTGTTTTCCGCTTAAGAAGAGGGTTCCCTACGACGGCTGGTATCAGAGCGACATCTGTCCACACCTCTGCCCGTCTATACTTTATAATCTTTTCCAACCCTTCCGACGTCGCTTCCTGGAAGCGAGCCTCCGTCGGAATCTTGTCGGTATGGCACAGATGGCAGAGCCACCGTTTTTGCGGATTCCTATACTGGATACATGATCCATGGGCCCTGACTACGCACGTGGCACATTCTAACCACTCGACGTACCCTTCATTTTTCGGCCTAACCGAAACGAAATGGATGCGCAAGATAGACTCACACAGAAAACAAAAACGATCGGGGAGGGAGAATAGAGAAGAGGAAGAAGGAGAGAGAGGGCCCTCAGCGTTTTCTTCTCTTTGGGCCTCCATAAGGACACATATCACTTCTTCACCTGCCGAGGGAGAACCTTCACGTGGCCGTACCCGGGTCCCTTGGGCTGCTCCGGATCCTTCCACAGAGTGATCTCTTCGTTGCGTGGCACCTTGCCTGGCCGGTGCAGACGTGTCAATCCGTCGGCGTTTTCGTGCCTTTCCGTTTTTCTATGGACGATGTCAAAGTCATACTCCTGCAACCTCACCGCCCATCGCCCAATCATTCCCGTGTAGTTCGTCAGCTTCTTGAGGGCCAGCAATGGCTCGTGATCCGTTATGAGGAGGAACTTCTGCCCGTAGAGATACGAGTGGAAGTGCTGGATTCCCCAGACGACAGCGTAGCATTCTCCTTGTGGTGCCGAGTCATTCTTCCTTTCGTCGGGCACCGTCTTCGAAGCATATTCGACCACGTGCTCCCGCCCGTCTTTCCCCTTCTGAGCTAGGATAGCGGAGATAGCCTCCGGCTGCCAGTTAGTAATGAGTAGGAACTGGCGCTCAGGATCAGGTCGGATTAAAATAGGGGCTGAGGCCAGGGCCTCCTTCAAAGCGCAAAAGGCCCGCTCACACTCCGCGTCCCAGTTCAGCGGCTGGTCCTTCCGGAGGAGGTTCGTCAGGGGCCGAGCGATTGCCGCAAAGCCCTTGATAAACCGTCGGTAGTACGAGGCTAGTCCCAGGAAGGCTCGAACCTGCGTCAATGACGTGCGTGTGGTTGCTTCTCGAACAGCCTCTACCTTCCTCGAATCCAGTCTCGAGCCTCCTCGGGTTACAACGTAGGCCAGGAATGAGATCTCGGACAGGAAGAATTCGCTTTTCTCCAACACAATCTTGAAACCGGCGTCCTGCAACGCGCCAAGTGTCCATTCAATATTTTGCACATGTCCATGGAATGATTCAGAATACACCAAAATATCGTCCATGTACACGATAACGCAAAAATTGATCATGCCCTGAGTTAACTTGGTCTTGTTTACGAAGTTCTGGAAAGTGACATTCATTGCCCTCTAAAAAGTCGTCGGCGCATTGCGTATACCCATAGGGCATCGAACCCACTGCCACGTGCCCTCAAACAAGACAAACGCCGTCTTCGGCCGATCCTCTTCCCTCACAAGGATATGGTGGAACCCGTGCCGAATATCAAATTTACTAAAATAATTTGCACAGCCAATGGCATCCAGCAGGTGATCAATCCGAGGGAGGGGGTACACATCCTTGATCGTGATGTCATTCAATTTTCGATAATCAATGCAAATGCTGATCGATCTGTTATTTTTCGGAACCAAAACTACCGAAAAGGACCAAGGACCTGTAGCGGGCTTTATCCCACCGTTAGCTTTGAATTCCCGGATTCGCTCGAGTGCTGCCTTTCGTTCTGCCAATGAGTATCGGTAAGGTTTGCAATGAATCGGCGGGTGAGCACCTAAATCTCGTGTTGGATTATTAATGATAACCTGATTTCCGCGTCATCAATGCTAATAACACCCCGATATTCCGCTAAGATCTCTGCAATAAGTTGGTGGGTTCCATCGGGCACGTATTCTGGCACGTGTAACTCGTAAGGTTGTTCGTGTATATCAACTGTGACGTGTTTGGTATGTACTGCCTTAGAGTCCTGGGGCGGCGGGGAAGAGATGAAAGAGTTGTCCGACCGCCACGAGAACACAGTGGCCACCATCTGGGCTTCCTCTTCTCGGATGGCCACGTGTTCTTCGAGGGTTATCCCGTCCACAATATCCCGAGGATCCACCGATTTCTCAGCGATCCTTATTCCGATATCGAACAACGAGGCGTCGGGACACCCAGGGGGTTCCGGAGCCTGTATTTCTGCTCCCAAACGTAGCAATTGTATCTCCTTGTCTGTGGTAAGAAGCGATCGGGGAGGGGGTTCCGTGATGTCACAGAAGGATCGCTTGTCCACGTACCGGAGGAGCAAGGGAGTAGTGCCCTCGTACAGAGTCCGAGGGGGTTCCGAAGAGTCGGGCAGCCTTGACACCTGTACCAGGGGTTCTCCTATGATCGGAGCTCGAGTTCATTGGACATTCTCTTCGGTCAATACGAACGTTTTCGTCGTTTTCTGCTGGACCGGGTAACGGATTACCCTTCGTGTCATCTCTTGAATCACCAGGTCTGTCTCGTCCTCGCTTTCCGAATCCTCGGGGAGTGGGGGCGTGTGTTCTTCGGTGCTAGTCTCTTAGTCCTCTAGACGTCCGTCCCAGGTGACTGTCCGAATCGGCCCGCCTACCTCTGGGTGAGATCTACATGGCGGGTTGGTAGCTGTGTGGAGGGTGAGGTGCATGGGGACTGGGTATAGCTTACCCCCGGTTTCTTGATAACGACCTCCCATCGCTCAAGGTCTAGATTGGCCAGGAGGGCGTTTAACGCAGGCAGTCCGATGAGTACGTCGTACGAGTTCACATTGGGAACCACCACGTCTCCCAAGGCGTGAACTTTTCCCAACTTAAAGGCGACGTTTGTCATCTTTCCTACTACTCTGATCCTCTCCTCATAGGCGGAGATCAAACGGTCTCCTTCGTTGAGTGGGATCAGATCCTTCCTTCGCCCGGCCCGTTTCACTACTCGTAGGGATATTACCAACACCGCTGCCCCGGAATCGAGGATCGCGCTGTATGGGAATCCCCAGATCTCCACGTCACACTCCGCAGACTTCCACGGGATAGTCTTGATGCGCAGAAAATGGTCGCTTTTCTGGAAAAGTCCCAGGCGTACAGGCTCTAAGGGTCCAGGTGCATCCGGCTTTGTCTCCTTTACGGGAGCCTTCCCCCTGGCCGTTGCCATCTTGGCGAGTGCGAATCGTTTCGATTGGCCTTGCAATGTTGGAGCATGCGATCATTGGCCTGTTCTGATATGGACAACAGGTGGCCGATCGGGAGCGGAATGCGGTGGTCTAAGGCTCGGATGATGTCCAGAACATCGATCTTTCCGGTGATGAAGTCAGGACCGTCGGATTCTATCTCCCCAGGGGATGGTCGCCATTCTGAAATCTCACGTTCATCGTCCGCGGGCTGGATTGCCCCTATCATCCCAAGCCCCGGATATCCCAAGGATAGGAATTGATCCAGTGGGATGAGCTCTCCGGCTTCCTCGATTACCCCTATATTTGGTACTGCCACGTCCGTTTCTTCTACCATGGTTCCTACCCGTCCAGGCTCGTTAGCTAAGGGAGCTTCAACTGTCGGGCCTGCCCCTATTCTTACTTGTCGCTGGGGCCAATCTTGGGCCATGTGGCCGGGTTGATGGCAGGCATAACACGTGTCCGTCCTAGGGGCCGGTCCTGTGCCATCTCCCACGGCTGTGGAAGCAGGTGCTGGGGTGACAAAAGGGGCAGCGAGAACGTTAATGGGGCGCATGGAACGCATCAGCGACTCCATGCGGGCGTTCTGCTCGCGTTGTTCCTTTTTGCTTTCTTCCATGAGGCTAACCAGCACACGTGTAAGGTCCAGCACCGCATTTGACTCCGCTGCCTTCTCCGCTAGGGCGGGTGCCTGTGCAGCCGCCTTGGGCGTCAAAGGTCCTATTTCCTAATCGGGAGGGCGCCTCAGGGCTGCCACTTGTTCCAAGTAGGTAACAGGGTCTGACACGAAGCCCATATTTTCGAACTTATGTTGCAGGGCTGCTAATTCCATCCTTGTGCGGGTCAGTTCCGTAGAGTCACCTTTTTAAGCGTAATCTTCTCCCTCGAGGAAGCTAGCAGCGAACTTTCGCTCCATCTCTTCAGTTGCATCCATGATTTGCGTCAGGGTGAAGGTGATGGGGGAGAACCGTTTTCGTATCTTAGCCTGTATGGCTCTGCTTCGAACTCCATCTATGAAGAATTTTCTTCCTACCTTTTCGTCTCTCCGAGATTTTACAAACAGTCGGTAAAACCAACTACGGTATTCTGCAATAGACTCGAGGGGCTTCTGCACTCTGTCTTTGATCATAAAGAACGCTTGCTCTGGACGTATGTAGTCAAATCGGTGTAGGAAGTCCCTCTCGAAGGTAGGAAGGTCAGTCCATACGTAGGTGCTGAACCAGTGATGGGCGTCACCTCCTAATCGGGCTGGGATGTTAATCCTAGCTTCATCATTATCGTACTGCTGCGCTCGGAGCGTGACAAGCCATGCTCCTGCCAGGTGGTGCGCTGGATCGAATAAATACAGATTTGGCGGGGTTGCTGGAGTGCGGGCACGTGCAGGCTGAGGCACAGCCTGAGGCGCAAGCCCCAGTCCGCCCCCTGCCCCGCCTTGCGCCTGATTGGTTGGGGCCTGATTGGCGTTTGCCTGATTAGCATTCATGTCCTTTGACGATCTGCCCGCAGACCTGCTCCTTGTCACTACAGGTTCGCGTGCCGATGCGTTCCTTTGCGCAGACTGTCCCCGTTTTGGGGTCCCTTGTCTTGCCCCTGTCGGCTCCGATACCAACCTCACACCCAGCGCGACTTCAATTTTCGGAGTGTTTGTGGGCCTGGAAGCGCGAAGAGGGGTGTGCCAAGGATTTTTGGAAAGTGGGGGTGGAGTTCCAGGTTGGAAGTGGAATCTCCTGTGTTAAGTTTCAGGGGTAGAAATGCAAGTGGTTCATCTAGCTCAGCGTTGGGGTGGGCGCCACGATCGGGGCCGGGGACGAGCCGGGTGCACGAACGGGGTGTTGTGGTCGTCGCTGTGGGAATGCTCGTACCTCTGTCCTCCGACGCAGAACTCAGAGTCAGAGTCTGATGAGGAGGACGAGCTGGGTTCTCGTCGTTCTCTCCGGGGAGGAGTCTGACACGTGGCCTCCGTCGCTTCGCACCTGTTGGGCTGTTGGCACTCTGGGCACGGAGCCCGGTGCCAGAATCGGGATATGGAGTCCAGGGGGTAACTAGCAATCGGTGATACGAGAGGACGATGTAATGGGGAGGGAAATTAGTCGTGATATCGACGAAGCCTGGAGTGATAAAGTATTGTTGGTGTCTACTGTCGGAATACTAGGGAACTCGGGAGTCCTGGTTGATTGCCAACTGGAAATCGCCCCAACACAGTCGCTCGTGTTCGGTTTGGTAGGGGTAATCAAGGGTCCACAAGTTTTGCTGCCATCTGATCAGTTGTTGTGGGACTTGTTGTCGCAATCTGTTCCCTTTCCCAATATGTCCTGTATTCGGGATCTCTCAGACTTTCTCGGTCGGTAATCCAAAAAGGAGTTTCGATCGCCATATCCGGATCAACGGGACTCACTCACCCACATCATTCCTACGTGGTGGGATCGTAACCAGCCCCTGCATGCGTGCGTGTAGATGACGAATCCATTGATGGATTGCTGTCTTCCACGCACGTGCGCACTGGCCACTAGTTAAGTTGTAAGCTGCGCGTCCCGATGGCGGAGCAATCTATTGGCGCTTGGCCCGATTATGCATGCAACCCTGTTCCCAAAACAGCCCCCCCTTGGTTATACCCTTATGCATCAGAGGAAAGAGTCATCAAACATTCGAAGAACAGACATGCATTCCCCGCAACTCTCATAATTCTTACACAGGTCGAACGCAAGTGATTAGGCTAATCCCGCGCAGTGAGCGCACCGATCAGATCTGAGAGAACTCAGACTCGTAGAGCGACACATACACTGCGATGCCGAATGCCGAAAAAGCGACGAGGTTGAAACCACGCTACTCTACTGAATAAAACAAAATGAAAAATCAAAGACAACTTGTGAGAAAGAAGGTGAGATCGTTCGTCACCATACATACGTACATGCATTTCAACAAAGAGATTTGAGGAGACTCACACAGGAAATCTGAAAAGTGCCACAACAAAATTGGCCATCGTTGGAAACAAAATTTATATAGAAAGGAGGGAGGAAAATACATTGTTCCACCATATACCTCGTCTCTCTCTCTCTCTCTCTCTCTCTCTCTCTCTCTCTCTCTCTCTCTCTCTCTCTCTCTCTCTCTCTCTCTCTCTCTCTCGATCCCGATCTCTCTCCCGCTCTCGATGCTGGCAGTCCGTCGCCGCGCATCCCAAAGACCTCACAGAGTTGTCACCCCGCTTAGCCTGAGCGTGCAAGACAGGTTCGCCCACGTGCCACAGTCCCTCGCGGCCACGCGTCAACCCCGCGCACTCAGCACCAGCTTGTCAGATCGCCCAACTTTCTACTCACCGTCTTTCTGCACGTTAACCGATCCTTCTCGACCACGCTAACTCACAAGTAGATTAGAGAAAAAGTTAATCGCGCTTGCAGAATTTATAGCTTGCTAATCAGTGCGCAATAGTCGGGATTGCCAGGGGAACAGGAAAGTAGAGAGAAAGGAAGTGTCTACGAGTGCATGATTGGGCCGAGGCATGGGGGACGTAGCCTCACTCCACGCTTCGATCCAACCATGCAACGATCCTGCCAATGAGATAGGAGGTAGAGTGCGCATGCAGTGACAGTGGAAGGGAATTTCAAGAACGGGGAAGATTACAGTTACACCTGCGTAGCGGGGAAAGAACAAGAAGAGATTACAATTGAGATTAGAATGTAGGCGCGGCGGGAACAGAGCGCAGGTCCCCGTGCAGCAAAACGCACGCGCGGGCAAGAGGCGATGTGCAGTTACAGGCAGAAATTCCGGCGCACCCAATTTCCTAATCTAATTAAAGTCCTGATTAAAAAAAAAGGAAATTTCGAGAGCCCGCATAGGCTCGTTCTAAATTCAAAAATTCCGATAGAATTACCCGCGTGATTATCGCGCCAAAAAGACGGACGCCTTATTTGAAAACAAAAGAAGAAAAAGAAAAACGAAATGAAAAGAGAAAAAGGCCATAGCCAAAGTTATTCCCCCTTCGCACTCGCTAAGGCGCGGGCCTACCGTCCCAAGGTCCATAACCGCCACTTTCTCTTCCCTGAAGGACCATGGAGAAAACTTCGAAAAATCAAGAAGGAGGGACCGCCATGCAGTTTATCTCTGATCCCTCTGTGTACCCCCAATCCCGGTTGCGCAGAAGATGGCGCCTTACAGAAAGTAGTTCGTCACACGGCATCCCGTTGTACTGGCGTGCTTTGCTCCCTTCGGGAGCAGAACATGGCCAAGGAGCTTGGGTTAGAGATCCGGATGCTGTGAGCAACAACCAAGAGGTATTGAAAATTGTAGGCTCAGAAATACCACAAGGGGTGAAGGTGGAAGTCTGGTCCTGGAAAAAAGGTAATAAGGTCAACCCCCCTCTCACCAAAAGAGAGGACAGAGTCATAGAAACATCAGTGGGATTCAAGGAGTGTCGAGTCTGGCAAAATGCATCAGCAAAAACAAGGGAGGCTTACCTAGTGGAGGAAGACGCGGACAATCTGCACATAGAACCCCTGCTATATGGATGGAAAGAGCTTACAAGCCTGAACTCGCAGTTGTTGGTGCTTCAGTACTCCTCGAAGGTAGGAGCTCTGATCCTAAGGGCAGCAGTCAGAAAGCAGCCTATAGTCGCGGCAGTAGAAAGATTTTTATAAAGAACTGGGGTTTACATTAGGCAATCTGGATCTCCTTGGCCACTGGCGTGCCCTGAAGGCAATGGTTTCACAGAAACAAGCAGCTCTTATCTAGCTCCAACTACTGTCAGTAACCCCATCAGCAACATGGTTAGTCTCCAAAGGGATGGACTTACCAAAATAATGTGCACGATGTAAGTGGGGATGGGAAACCGCTGCCCATATCTTGGTGTACTGCCCTTTCTCCTTACAAGTCTGGGAATGGTGGAAATTGAAATGGAGAATTTGTGTCGGAGACAGTTTCCTCTGGACACAGGAATGGTCCCTCTATGGTCTGACGAAGGGGGGGCTTGAGGAAAGAATGCTCGACCTTTCCTCAGGCTGGGGTTATGCAACTCTTGCCTGCCGAGGGGCGGTAATGGAAACATTGTGGAAAGCAAGAAACAAGGCTAGTTTTAAACAGGGAGATACCACCCTCTTTAGCCAGATCTCGACCGTCAAAACTCTGATCAGACGAAGTATCAGGATAGACTGGCAATCTCCTCACCCCCGGTCTAAAAAGAACTGCTTTTGGTTCTCCCAGACATGGGGCAGAAATGGGGCTTTTGCATCTATTTCCACAGAAGACAAGCTGGTGTTTGCAGACTGGATAGCTTCAGACATCTAGGGAATAAGGGGGCCGAGGGGTAGGCTCTATTCCTCAACACTGATTCAAGGCCGCTAATTAGGCCGCACTTCTAATAAATAGAGATGTGACAGCTCGGCTAGACATAGGCAGTAGGTGCTAGCAGATAGATAACGCATACAAAGTCATCACATAGACCCCCCCTCATAGTGTAGCTTAGGGGTGGCCTGAGTTTCGACTGAAGACGTCAGAGGCTAGTGTGAGGCTAGAATTTTCGTCCTTTTAGGTACAGGGTTTACAGTTGATCCATGGAAAGACAGGGGCGTTGGCCTCCGCGGGCTCAGACCTGTAAGCTAAACCGGCTGAAGCTGCCGGGATAACTCCGGGTAGAATTGTGAGGTCCGACACCAGATACTGTGTCATATCCGTACCAAAAGACTTGATTGTTGTTGTCAGTCGTCTATCCCGTGTGGTCTTCTTTCTTGGAGTCACGAGCCGACCCTCGTTGTTGACTGATTTCTCTGAGTCTTCCTTCGAAATTATAGAGTCCCCTGACGGCTCCGACACCAGATCCTGTTGTGAAGTCATACTGAGTCGTCTTTGTTTACCTGCTCCACGTGTTCTTGCTCTGCCCGGTGTGCTCTCCGAACGTTGATCCCCTCTTCCCCCCGCTCTTGCATCGCCTCCCATCATTCCACCAAACAGGCGTGACGTGCTCATGCCGTGTCCCACCCGTTGAGCTCCAGCCGCCACCTGCCCCGAAGTGCTTGATACTTCCCCCATAATTGGCTGGTATCCTTGTCCCGCTTGCCCTGTCCCTCCTTGACCACCTTGAGTTCCATTCCAACCAGCCCACGATACCGGGGATACTCCATTGGCCATGAGCCAATCCATAGGGGTCGATCCTCCTTGTGGCATCCCCGTGACTTGCCATCCTTGCTGCACCATCCCATACCCAAGATTTTGGTATGGGATATACGGATTCAGTGGATGTCCTCCCGACGGGATCCAATGACTAACTCCACCCCCTCGTCCTCCCTCTCCTTGCGGAGAGAAGGTAGGATTGTTTTTCACATTGGCTGCATGGCTAGCAGCCTCCGGTTGCCTGGGTGTCTGTGGCCTCGACCTTAGCGGGCCTTGATAGTGTTGACCTTGAGTTGCTCCGTTCGCCAATGAGGCTTCCCCCGTTTGTTGAGGCTGATTCTGACCAGTAGCTCCTGCGCTTGTGCCCTGATTCCTCCCTCTCGCTCCTCTCTGACAGTCCTGTTCAGAATGGAAAAACTGTTTGCACTTGCTACACTTCAAAGTTCCTGTCGTCCCCAACCGAATTTCCAGCACGTCCCCTTTGGATGTAGCCACCCAAATGATGTCCTTCATATTTGCCCTTGCTTCCGGATCAATGTCGAAGCGGGCATTGACCAAAGCTGGCCTATCTGGATCAGCATCGGTTGGATGTGCTTGGATAATTTTTCCAATCGCTTTCTCAATTTGTGCATAAATGAATGGCATATCGTCTAGCGGAATCTGCAAGGCGATGACCCAGAAGGTGCTCTCGTCATCTTGCCTTCTCAATTCTCTAAACTCTGCCCTGGTCATCCAGGGTTTGAAAATAACCTTGTAGGTTGTGTCCCCCAGCGTCACCTCCACTTGGCCTTCTCTCACCATATATTCTGCCACCTCTCTCGTTCTTGCCACATAAGAGGTCACTCCTGGCCTTTCAATCTTGATTCTCCCATGCCTCTGAATACTCCGGAGGGACTCGTTGCCGATAACCCACTCGTCTTCGAAGGCGCGGACTAGGTCGTCTTTAATGTTCTTCGGTAGAAATCTTGCAGGGTCCTTGTAGATGACTGTGACAGTACGCTCCTTCAGCCACTTGACCTTGATTTCATCCAGTAAGGTATTTAACTTAAACCTAACTTCCCTACCGTCCACTACCATCTCCCCCGGATCGATCTCTGTTGGGTATACCCCATCGTCAAAGCACATGGGTAGAAGGCTTCTTATCCTATCCTCATCTTCCCTGAAGTTTGTTTCCTCATGTGGCGCAGGAGGGAGGGACCTCCCCGTTCCTTCACGCCCTGGTGTACTCTCCATCTCTCCTTGCTCTTCGTTCTCTTCTTTCGTCCTCCAATTTCTCCGCGTTCTGCTTCTGTACTCACTCTATTTACTCTCTCAGTTGACAACAATCGGTGTAGGGCGTTCCCTATGTCAGTCGTCTCTCTACCTATGACTAGGATGTCGCCATATCCGCCCCTCGATGAGGACGCTCGGTGAGACGACTCCGGGGTGATATCACGGCGGTACCGTCTTGGAGCATAGCTCGGGTTCTGCCGAACCCGGTAACGCTTCGGCTGAGCTCATAGCGCCGACCGGAACAAGGCCGTGCCCCCGGGCAAGGGGTGACACTCTTTTCAGCCGCAAATAGCAAAGGGATAGGACGGTCCTCATTTTGTTGCCGTGCAAATAGTACTACACTACAAGGGGCCTCGCTGCACTACTCTGGAAATGTGCAAAACGAGAGTGAATCTTCCGCTAGACTATGGAATGGAAAGACACACACCCACGATTTTTGTCTTTTGTGCATGTCGAGAGTAGTCCAACGAGGCCCTTGATCTTTCTTTTTTGAAATTGAAAGGAGGCGACGGTCTTCAGATATCATCATTGAGATGACCTGCCCCATGGAATTTAGAAATATTTGGGTTTACTCATCAAGTTCCGTCATCTAGGTTCCAACGCGGGTCTGTATTTCAACAGTTCAATGGTGTACCCAATGAGTTAGGCTTTAGGGTGCCCTAGATTTTTCTCACCCTCTCATTGGCCGTCAATTGTGCTAGGTATTCTTTCTCATCCTCCTTGGAGGGTCGGGGCCAGGTCCCACCTGTGCGTTATCGTTGTGGGCGTCCACCACGGTGCGACAGTGTGCGATTTGGCGGCCATAACAAGCGACCTCCATATGACGTTCACGCAGATCTATTGCACAGTCGGGGGTTGATGGCGGCAAGAGTTAGACAAACGGGTCTGTTAAGGGCCCGACGTTTAGGCATTTGACTGATCCTTTGCCAGCTTCGGCCTTTCATTATCGCGGTGGGCGGTTACCACTTTTGCAACGGGGTAGCCGACCACCACTATTTCGCTACATGGCTGAGGTCTTCATGTGGTGAGCTTCGAAATTTGTAGATCACGTAGAATCGTAGGTGTTACCACCTCCACTAGTACCTAACTGTGTGTGTGTACCTTGTTATTCACCAGGGAGAATTGACCAGTGGTATTGGAGGAGACCTCGTCCATCATCAAGTACCCTCGACCAACCGCTCCCAACTCACTCCTAACCTGAATGGGTCTACAGCCAACGAAAGTAGGATACACCCCTTAATTCGGCATTGGTTTCCCTACAAGGCACCCCTTTCCAACCATTAGACTGCCACGGTATCACCATGCACCCCCAACCCCCATGCCACCCCCCGACCCAAGAGAGCAGCACTCATCCTCAACAGCTTCCCCGTAAGAGAGCCACACGTCCCCACCCAAGGCCATCCAGAGAATCATCCCCAGCGAATATGGAGTAGCTATATATATGTGTGTATGGTATGTGTATATGATAAGTGATAGACTAGGTATCGTGATTGTGCTATCTTAGGTGTGTGCGTGAATATGTGGTAGAGACAGGTCTCCCCCAAAAGTCCGAACCGGACTCAAACCTATGACCTACAGTGTGAAACTGGAGGGTTCTACCACTTGTACTATCGTAGGAAGTGAATCTAGTGTGTGTGATATCTGGACTGGGGAGATCATCAGAGCGACCAAGGCCAACAACAACCAGTGACCAACGTGACGACTTGGCCGTCATACAATACCCATGGACTTATCCCCTGGGTGGTGCGGAGGCAGTGTGTGACGAACCACTTTCTGTAACGCGCGAGTTTCTGCGCGGTTGCAACGAGGGGTCCTAAGCTATGAAGATTGGGCCAATTACGGGAAATCGGGATCGGTGGAAAAATTGCATCAGTACCCTGGCTTCTTCGTCTTTTTCGTCGCTTCTTCGGGGCTGGGTGTGTCCTGGGACAACCGGTGGATTGGTTGGTCGGATGGTTGTTTGGCGCGACCCCACTCGCGCGCGCGATTAATATCGACGTCGTTCTTTTGGTTCGGTTTTCGATCTTTTGGGCGTGGACATCGCACGGGAAATTGCTTCGTTCTTTTTTGAAATTCCTCTTGAATCTTTTTCGAATTTTGTCGAGCCCCCAATGGCTCTCGAAATTTCGAACTTTCCTTCTCAATTCGTGCTTCTTTTTGCTTTTTCGCATTAGATAGAATTTTAGGAATTTAGTAATTAGGATTTTTCATGCCGCGTGGCGCCTTTTGTTTACGCGCTTCTTCGTGGGGCTGCAACGGAACTCTGATTACTAGGCGCCCTTAATCTCGTGTGTAACTGTAATTTTGGACGGACGCCATTGTAACTGTATCTCTCTACTTGCACTTCGTCTTTCCCACCCTCCCTCTCTTCCTCTTGCTGTGATTTTCGTGAACCGTGGTTTGCATGCTTGGATCAATGCGTGGAGAAGGGCTACGTCCCCCATGCCGCAGCCCGATCATGCAGAACGCAGGCACTCCCCCTCTAATCCCCGCTCTAAGTTCTGGTAATTCCATGTCCTTCGCGCATGCATGCACGCTATAAATTCAGGCTGCGCAATTAGTCAGCTCTCTTAACCCGTTGTTGGAAGCTCGGGTTTGCGTGATCAGGAAGGGTCGGCACACGAGCGAAGTAAGAGGTGAGTAGAGTAGGAGTTGGGCGATCCGATGGGCTGGTGCCGAACGCGCGGGATTGACGTGGGCCACGACGGACTGTGGGCACGGGCGAATCCGACGGGTGCGGGAGGACTAAGCGGGGTGACAACTTCGTGGGTTGGTGCGTGACGACAAGCTGTTAGCATCGGAGAGAGAGGAAGAGAGAGTTGAGGATGATAGATGTGGATTTGCGGTTTCTTTGTCTCTTCCCCCTCTTCATTTGTGTACATACATTTTGATTGCGGCTCAGGGCGGTTTGCCCGCTCTTATTTTCGTTTCGGCTTTCTGAAATCTGGGCTTGGATTTTTCTTGCTCACATTTGTCTTCTCGATGTCCGCTTTTGCTTGCAGTATGTGTATGATTGTCGAATGGATGGATGCAGGAATGTTATGCCTGCTTGCCTATCCCTTTTGCGGAAAATCCCTGCCCTTGCTTTTGTTGAGCCGAATCTTTGTTTGCACCGGGTGCAGCGATAGATGGGATAAGAGTCTAGCCCCGATGTAGATTTTGTTTTTGTTTGTTCCCTGATGAGGTTGTGATATGATTGCATCTTGCATAACCGAAACTTACGCAACATTTAGGCGATCCGAAGTCCGGCCCCGCGAACACCACACGAGAACAAGTGTAAACGCAATCCGAGTCGTGCCCTTACGCGTACTCCCATGTGTCGACTCGCTCACCCTAAAGGGAATCACGGCGGAACCATCATCTCGTACGAGCACGCTGAGACGCCACCGAGTCGGCCTGTCCTACACGTGCTCGTGCGCGGTGACGATATCCCGACCCGCGCTATCCCACCGGCAATGATACCATGACGCGATCTTGGGGCTCAAACTCATCCTATGACCCGGACTATTTCACCCCTATAATAAACGAGCTCATAAGGACCCGATACCCTTGTCACACGGAGAATCAGCTATGTCCGCGGGAATTCCACTGTGCCACCACTAGCGACCCTCGGTGCTCCGATTTCCCTTCCCCCAATCACACCTACTACTTCACCCACCCGAAATTCGTTCAGATCACCACCAGTTTCCCTCCCTTTCGCCTCCTTCTCCCGTATCATCAGCTCAGTGTCGTTCCGTGGCTGGCCATAGCCCCCTATTGGCCCAATACGTTTTGCATGAACTGCCGACGCAACGACGCGCAGAGCACTCCGGAATCCCGGAGGCCCAACCGAGGTACGAGGCGACCTGCGCCGCGTGGCGGCCCCCGACGGCCCAACTTTTCAGGATTACCTCCACCGCGGAGGAATTTTCCCGTAACCCGTCGCCTACAGTGTCCCGGCCCCATCGGACTGTGAGTCCCGCACGCTCGCCTAATTGCATTCATACCCTTAAGACTCCCCCACTTTCCCCAAAAATCCTTGGCACACCCCTTTTCGCATTTCCAGGCCCACATTCCCCTCGGATCAGGAAGTCGCGTTGGGCGTGAGGTTGGTATCAGAGCCTGACACGTGGCTAGGGTCTTAGGATTGATAGCACGTTAATTAAGCGACCTGGCTAACCGTGGGCGACCTCGCCCTCTGAACGCGCCTAGACGCGACCCTATCGTCACCAGAAGCAGATCGGCTAATCGACGAGCAGCCAATATGGCTGCCAACGTGCAAAATCCAGTTCCGCAATAAAATGGTAACCCACCTAATCAACCTGCCCTACGTGCACGAGCTCCCATGTCGCCACCAGATCTCTATCTATTTGACCCGACGCACCATCTCGCAGGAGCATGACTGTCCACGCTTAGAGCACAGCAGTACGATGATCACGAAGCACAAATCAACATTCCGGCTCGAATGGGAGGAGACACTCACCGTTGGTATAGTACCTATGTATGGGTGGATCTTCCGACCTTCGAACGGGATTTCCTGAATCGATTTGATTATGTCCACTCCGAGCAAGCGTTGTACATGATTGAGGACCGAGTGCAAAAACCGCTCGAATCCGTTGCAGAATATCGAAACCGGTTCTACCGAATGTTCGTAAAAACTGAGCGAGGTGAGAAAGTAGGGAGAGATCTGTTCATTGACAGACTCCGCAGTAGAACAATAAGGGCTAAGTTGCGAAAGCAGTTTTCCCCCATCACCCATGCGCTACAACAAATTATGGCTGCTGCGGAAGAAATGGAACGGAAGTTCGCGGCGAACTTCCTGGAAGGAGAAGACTACCCTAGAGACAGAGATTCGACCGAGCTCGCTCGAGCAAGAGTAGAGCTGGCTGCGTTACATAACAAATTCGAAAACATGGGGTTTGTGTCAGGACTTGTCACCCATATGGAACAGATAGGCCCCAAACGAGTAATCCTAAGTGAGACTCCGAGCATCTCTGCTCCTATGATGCCCCTACCCGTCCGGGCATTAACCCCGCCGCCGGTAGAGGCTCCTATACGATCAAACGAATCGGCGGTCATTTTCAAACTAACCAAAACTTTGATAAGTTTGATCCAAGAAAGAAAAAAGGAACAGCGAGAGCACAATGCTCGGCTGGAAGCCATG